TTGATAAGGGTTGCCATTGATTCTATTTTCAAGGATTTCATCAATTGTTTTTAACTTGATTTCCATCCATTCCATCCTATTTCCCCAAAATCTAAAAGTAGATTTACATTGCATTTCATCTCAATTAATAATCTTAATAAAAAAACCCTCAACTTTTTCCTAGTCAATTTACATTTTTATGACATTTAGTTAACTTAGGATCAATAATTAAGACTCCAACATATGAGACGACTCAAGGTTATGCCTATAGTACAATCCTTAGTTTTAATTTTGAATTTGACCCCAAAGAGTAAGTGAATGGTCATTTCAAGAAGCACTGTTGCCGAGGACCCAAGAAATTAGTTTCCTAAGATAACTTGTGTCAACTTATTGTTAACTAGGGTGAAGAGCCTTTTTAGATTGCTTTTTGGTAGTTTAGTTATATATTTGTCCGTAAATATGTTTTTTTTTATAACATCAAAATTTTAAGAAATGCAAAGAAAAATCTTGATTTTCTTGCTTTTCATGGTTGCATTCTTGCATATAGGTTCATACTTTGCATTTTGCATTTTCTTTCCATTGGTGTATTGCTAGTTTTTCGTGTACCAATTGGTTTCTTGGCTTGGTTGAGTTGCTTTAACTTGTGGTTTGATATCTTGTGAATATGCAATTTGGTTTTGAGCCCAACTGGATGCACACACCACTTCTCCAAGCCATTTATAATTGGTTTTAAAGGTTTTAGCATTAACAAATTGGTTTGGAACTCATTTGCTCAAAATTGATTTTGATAGCTTAAAGTTTTAGAGTGCATAGAGAAAATTTTGGTTCAATACCTTCAATTTTGTTTCCAAGGGTTTTTTTTTGGCAAGAAAAGTGTTCATATTCAAGTGTATTTAATTTCTTGGAACTTTTTTTGATTGGTTTGGAACTTTAGTTGCTTGAAAAATTCAATTTGGTACATAATCTAAAACTTTTTTTGGATTTTCACTATTACTGTTGTCTGTTCTATGAAATCCGTCATGCCACTTTTGCCAATCCATCACAGCGTCTGTCTTCAGCACATGAAAAATTTGCTTCTGTGAAAGAGGCTGTGGCGCCTTAGCCCATTAGCCACGGCGTATCCTATTTGTCAGAAGTGTCGCATCCTTTTACCACATCTGCAGCAGCCTGCACTATTTTTTTTAAAAAAAAAAGAAATCCATATATCTTACACACATACCACCCATACCATACATCTTATACATATGTTCACACACTTGCATCCATTACATCTTACCTTTTTACTTGACCTTATGTGCTTGCAAGTCAACTTTGTTTTCTTCTATTTTTATTTGTTTTACTCTCTTGCATGCCTCAAAAAGCCAAACATGTACCCTATAATCCTAAGATTGAAAATAATTTGAAGAAGATTCAAAAAGAAAAGAGCGTTGAGGGGACAAGTAAGGTAGTAGTTGAAGAAAAAAAATTTCAGTAAAGTCTAGCCTTTCTAGTAGTGAGAGTAAATCAGTTGATAAAAAAAAATAATGGCTGACATCCCACCCAATCCACCGAACCTTAGCCCTAACAGTAAGCTACTTAGATATGGTGGAAATAGAGGTAATGGGAAGCATAAGAGAGTTAGAGAGAATAATGGCAACCCTAGAAGAAGAACCATTAGAGAAACCACAACTTCTAATATCAATTTTGATCTATTTATTGCTGCTTGTCCTAACTTTAAAGTAAATTTTGAAATTAAGGGTTTATTGATTAACTCACTTCCTATTAAGTGTTAGGACCTTGATTCTTTTACTATACCTTGTATTGTAGGTAAGACAACCATTCCTAAGGTTTTACTTGATTTAGATGTTGCAATTAATATTTTGCCTAAGTCAATTTAGAAGTCACTATAAATCAAAAGCCTTGAACCTACCACCATAATACTATAGTTAGCTAATAGGATGATGAGGTATCTATATGGCTTCTTAGAGGGCATCCTTGTGAAAGTAAAACATTTAGTAATCCCTACTAACTGCTATGTGTTAGATATGCCTAATAAACAAGGTGGGGATGGAACTCTAATTTTGGGTTGACCTTTTCTTTGAACTACTAATACTAATATTGACATACAAAAAGGTTCTATCACTATATCTGTTTGAGATAAATTTACATATTTTAATATGTATGAACAAATAAAACAAGCACATAAAAATTATTCTATATGTGATATTAACTTTGTTGATTGGTTGTTTATTGATAAGCTTGATAATGTTAATCAAATGGATATTTCATTGCCAATTACTAATTCTTCTTCCCCCTCCCTTTTAAATGGTAGTGATACAAACTTTTCTACTATTTATCAATTAGATTACACGTGTTTCACTCCATTCAATTCTATTATTACTATTAAGGAGTCTTCTACTAACCCCCATGAGCTCGAGAAAGGCTTTCTTGCTTATGATATCGCAGGTGCTAGTAGAGCTGGAAAGACTTCCAAGAGAAAGAAACATTTCAATCTTTTCAAGGAGCTGCGTGCCTTAAATGCTTATCGAGCATGAGCTTATTACAATTCCAGTTGTTGTACACTCCATTATCTTTGCACCCTTAACCAAGACGACCTACTAAAAGACGGTGGTTACTGCTATGAATAACAACGAAGTGGCTTTTGACGAGAAGAGTAAAGATCCCAACTCTAATTATGATTTATTATAGGATTTATTGAAATTTTGCATTGACAATACTTTTATTACAATAAAGAATTATCTAATAAAGGCAATCATGGTTACAAGTTTTGCACAAAATTATAATAGATTATCTGGATTCTTAGTATTTCTTAACATTACATGAATCTTTTTATTTCTAAATCTAATATAAATTTCTTACAAAATAAAAAAATAAATTATACAAATTTTCTTTGAATTTTTTAAAATTGTGTATATAATAAAATATATAATAATATAAATTTTATTTTCAATTAAAATATGTGATGGTTTTAAAAATAAAATTTTATTTTTTATAAAGAAAATAAAATTTTAATTTTTCCTTGATGAAAAATTTTTGCGTATTTTTTTATTGGTTTTTACACAAGTTATAAACTTTGAGAGGAATCAGACTTAATTTAGTGAATTTTATTAACTCGTGTGAGTTTTGAAAATAAAATGTAGAAGGAAATACAGGAAGTTTGGATAGGGACAATATAATATTTTTAAATTTATATTTAAATATTTGATTTTTTAAAAAATAATTTTAACTTTTATGATCCTCTTCAATAAATATCACTCCCTATAGCTCTTTCTCTCTAATTCTCCCAATATTTATTTGTCTCCCATGGATGGATCTGGAAGTCTTGAAACTTTGTGACCTTTATGAACCACTCAGTGATTTTTTAAAAATTATTTTAGATCACTCTAAAGCTCAATTTACCAGTACATACAAGCCGGTCTGAGTTTTGTAACAAATATTTCATAGAAAAAAAATAAAAATTTAAGAAAATGTCAAATTTTATCCAATAAACTAAGGAAAATTACGAATTTCTTTTGTCAAAAAAGGGTTTTCAAATTCAACTTTAAAAGGAAAAAAATGAGAACTTGAGTTAAAATATGAGAATATCATTAATTAATGTGTATCTCTGTTGCATTTCCACACTTGATCTTTTGTCAGAAGCCTGAGAAAGGTATGAGAAATCATTAATTAATATTTGACAAGCAAAAAATTCGGACTGTATAATTTTTATATGTTTATAGTACTATTATAGTAATTATATTAATTTTTTTAAATAAAGTAAAAACTTGCGCACGGCTTATATTTTATTTAAATTAAAACGAAAGAAAATTAGAATCTATAATTTAAAAATTAAATTGGTATGTTGATAAGTTTTTTTTGTTGAAAATTCAGTAAATTGTCATTGAATTTTTTTTTAAGCAATAATCCCCTAAAATACACATTTGAACAATGGGGCCTTGGTTTTATCAACACACGGGAAAATTAAGGACCATTTTAAGTTTGGGGCAACATAATTCTACTTGTCGGCCTTGTTTGGATTAACGTTTGAAATTACTTATAAGTACATTTTATATGAATACATTTTATATAAATGAAGATAAAACTGTTATCACATATTTAGCTTATATTTCGTAAATTATGATTGAAAAATTACTTATAAGCCATTTCAGATCAGTCCTAAATAAATTGCCCCCTCTCCTTTAAGAACTCCATAACATGACATCTTTCACGTGAAGCAAAATTTCTCTTCTATATTTTTTTTTTAGGGATTTGTTATTTTCTTTATATGGTCAGCCTCTTTGTTGTGTTTCTTATCTCAACTCGTCTTTTTATTATAAATTATTTTGTCTTTCTATTAAAAAGAAAAAGACCACTTAGTTTGGCAACGGTCTCATCATCAATCAACTAACAATGTTAACGGGAATATGTGCGCGCGCGCGGGCACCATATTTTATTAAAAAGAAAAGAAAACAGAATAAATAAGAATGCATGTTTGTCAATTCCTGCCATGAGCTCCGCTGCGGCTAAAAAGAAGGAAACGAATAAGAAATTCCTGCCACGATTAAAAAAGTATTTGAATAAGATCAAAATCATGGTTTTAGAAGTGTTTTTATGTATGAAAAATTTGTTTCGATTTACAGAAAATTACTTCTAAAAAGTAATTCTGAGATCACCTAAACACCTCCTAAAAAGGAGAAATTCTCCATATCTTATGTTATTATGGGAAGACTGAGAAAGCCAACTTCGGCACCGTGATTTATCGCCATATTTGGGTGGAATTAAAGGGTCTTTAGGGTTTATTCTTGCAGAAATATTAGTGGAGAATAAAAAGATCAGAGAACGCGGCGGCGGGAAGCAATAGGAACGAAAACTCATAACGGAGAAGATTGGGAAGACAAATCAAACAATTGGAAGTTTCTTAAAGGTAATCCTGTTCGTTTCACTGAGTTTTAATCTTCTGAGCAATCTGTTAATGATGCAAAAGCGAAATTGATCGTAGAAAGTGCGCCCAGAAGAGGCGAACCCTTTTGGATTCGAAAGAGATGGCTGGACAATCCGATCCTCACCTCTCTCTGTTTTCAGCTGAAGAGGTATCTTTACTTGGATAGTTAAAGAATTTCATCATACTTTTGTTTGCTGACAATAATTTATGGTTGTGATTTTGTTGCTAAGCTTGAATTTGTAGCTGAGGATGACATGGTTGAGATTGTACCCAATCTCAAAATGGGTGCTGTCAATCTGGTAATTAAGTGTAAGTATCAGTTGTAGCTTATACTCTTCCTACTCTCTGCGAAGGAGAAAAGAAGGTTGTTTTTCATATCAACTTCATTTCGGTGAAAATGGCAGAGATTTTGGTCCATTTGCTCCACAAATAGCTACTCAAGTGCCATTGTGGTTGGCTATGGCTTTGAAGAAGAGAGGAAAATGCTCTATTCACCCTCCTGAATGGATGTCAGTTGTGATAACCATTCTTTTAAAACCCATTTAGATCAAAATTTTCAATTTATTCAAAAGATTAACAATGATAGAAAAGAAGAAACCTTAAAATTTTAAAATCACTATTATGATTAAAAGAAATAAACTTATCATGAGCACGTCGATACTTAACTTGGGCATTGGACTTTTAAAGTCCAAAAATATTATTCAACCCTTAGCCCAAACAAAACTCATACTTTCAAACGAAGGTCGCGTACAAAGTCTTAGAGGCCTCTGGCTTTCTAACAGCCCTCTCATCAATTAGCAATAATCAAATCTATTAATTCACAACGTTAAAATAGATGAGCCCTATGTGGCAATATATAATAATTTAACACATAAAACAAAGAGAGGGAGGCTATACAAGCTATGATAGCACACTAAGCCTTCGAGGCCTTCCCTGACAAATCATTACCTGAACTATCACCTGAAAAATATTAAACTGCGGGGGTGAGACAAACGCCTCAGTAACCAACTTTCCAACTCATTATACATACTAACATGAGTTCATGAGGTGTCAAGTGGGACAATTATTAATTCTCGAGAAATATAGATATATCCATAGAAATATAATTTCAATCATCCAAACCCTCACTATGGGGGCCAACACACAAGCCACATAAGTCTATCCCTCACTATAGGGGATCAATCAAACATATGGGCCTATTTTTCACTTTGGGGGACGAATAAGAAGCCACAAAGGCTTATCCCTCTGGGAGAAGAAGGAAGAAGCCAACCAATATACACCAATGGTGGCCTTACCACGTGGTAGGATAGCACTCAATCCAAAATCCAAATAACAACCAATTATTCACAATATCATTAAAAATGTCTTAATCTTTTCTCAGTATAATCCATAAGATATAAATCATATATCTTTTCCAAACTTATCAATCATAATTCTAAAAATCCCACAAGACAATTTTCATAGCTCAAAAGATATAATATATCTACCCGAATTCCAAATAACAAATATTATTCAAAAATAGGAAAATACTCACAAACAACATATTAGCACATATAACAAGTGGAAAGTAGTTACCTCTCGCCAAAGTAATAGAAGGATTACCACGAGGTCAATCCTTTGCTAAACCAATAATTAATCTACACAATTAATATAACCACATATTAATATAAACTAATTAATTAATTAATTAAGCTTATATATTAGTTAAAGTCCTAATTTAATTTAATTTTCATTCTAAATTCCCACAACTCTTATAACCCAAAATTAAGTACTTTAGAACTAACTGATAATTTTCTAACAAGCCAAATTATTTATTTACATCCTCCAACTTATTTACTTTAATAAAAAAATTTTTCAAGATTTCTAAATATGAAATTCCTATATTCTAAATTCTAAAAATCTCATTTGAAATCCCCAAAACCAAACCATCAAAAATTTAATAGTGTCTCAAATATTTATATATATATAAATGATCTAATCAAAATTTTAATGGCATATATATATTTTCATAAATAATAAACTTTGACTACAATAATTATTTTAAAACCTTTAGTCACCCAATAAATAAAACTAAATTGATTAAAATCTCAATCATATGTCAAACAACCCAAATAAATTATTTAACTTAATTTTAATCGGTATAAATATGATATATCTCATAAATAACATATTTTTTTAATTAAAAATTAATTTTTAAATGCTAAAATCAACAAATGGACAAATCTAAACTGGTAGAAATGATCTACTATAACAGATTTATAATACTGTCATTAACACTCAAAACTAAATACTTGCTCCAAATTCTATACCAAAAATTTTCTCTAAGTAACATAAAATTACTATCATTAGATAGATCTGATTAAGTAGAATAACTTTTATGAAGAGAGTTTTATAACTAGAAGTAGTTTTACTTACCAAAATGATCTATAATTGTGAAGAGAGAAGGGAGAGAGAGCGACGCTGTGAGCCAATGAAGTAACGTGGAGAGAGAGAATGAGAAGGAGAAAAAAGACGGGTAAAAAGAAAACACTTGGGGTAAACTAAAGTTAAAGACCCTAGGTAAAATAGAAAAAATAATAGTTTGAACCCCCTTTTTTAAATTTTTAAATATTTAAATCCTTATAGTAGAATTTAAGATGTTACATCAGTTGGTGAGCTGCATTTATTTTTTGTCTATTAATTATCCAAATAACACCATACAAGGCACTCTGTGAGAGGAAATGTAGATATCCCTTATGTTGGACAAAGCTTAGTAAAAAAAGCATCTTTGGTTTGGATATATAGTGAATCAGACTTCCCAACAAATTAAAGCTATTCAGCGAAGACCTCTAACGGCTCAGAATAGACATAAGAGTTACGTAGATACGAGAAGGAGACCATTAGAGTTTGAGGTTAGTGATCATGTTTTTTTTAAGTATCGCCAACAGCAGGAGTCAGTTGATGCCTAAAAACTAAGGGATTGAATCCGAAATACTTGGACTGTTTCAAATTTTATCCAAAGCTGGACCAATAGTGTACAAGTTGGCCCTTCCCCCAAACTTGAGTCAAATTCATGATGTCTTCCATATCTCCCAATTGAAGAAGCACCATCCAGTCCCGGCACATGTCATAAGCTACGATGACATTGTGCTCCAAGACAATCTGTCTTTTAAGGTCAAATTAGAGTGAATCATTGTTCAAAAGGTCAAACAGCTGAGGAACAAGCAGACTCCACTAATAAAAGTAGTTTAGAAAGGTCCTCCCTTTGGACAAGTCACATGGGAGATGGAGACTGAAACAAAGAGAAAGTATCCCGAGTGTTTCCATTAAAGTACGCCTTAAATTTCGAGAACAAAATTTATTTAGGAGGGAGAAATGTTGTAACATCCTAACTTTTGGGCCTAGAAGTACCAGAAATAGTCTGAATTGGATAGGCTACTAGACCCCTTTTGAGCAGAAGTTCCAAAGATAAGAAAGGAAGTCAAAGCAGTTTTAGGGACAAAATTACAAAGTAAAAGTTTTCAGAGGCTCAAGTATAATCAAGGCTAGAGGCTCCAGTAAAGTTTTAAGGGCCCAGAAAGAGAAAAGAGAGTAGAAACAGGCCAAGGGTTAAGTTAGAAACCTCAAAGAGAGGATTGTATGAAGTTGAGTCCAAGCAGGAACTAAACTATAAATTCAAAAAGTTATAACCAACAGGGATAAAAAAAGAAGAGTATAAAGAGAATTCCAAGAAAATCTCAAAAAACAGGAAATAATATTTTAAGGCTTTTCTATGAAGAGAAAAGACAAAAGTAGCCTTGAGGTAGCTTAAATGGAATTTATAAGGTTATGACTGGTAAAAAGTACATTGTTCGAGGTAATTATTCGAAATGGCAAGAGACCTCAAAAATGTATACAAAAAAATGAGGTTAAATGGTTGAAAGGTTGTACTAATTTATAAAATTAGTCCCACAACCAAAAGGCCAGTGGAGTGGCTTTAATAAATTAAAAAGTTGATTATGCCGATAAAAAGGTATTTTAGTAAATGAATTTTTATGTAAGGCTTAAAGGAAGTGTTGTGGCCTAAAATAATTCATAGATACTCTCTAGAATTAAAAGAAATTTATGAAACAGACAAAAGAATTTTCTAAGCTTCAAAAGGCCGTCAAGAAAGCTAGAGAAACGTGGACTAAGTAAATTAAGAGGAAACTTAGGAAACAAGTTTGATTCAATAGCTAGGATCTAATCTCCCTTCTCCTCCACCACATTTTTTACACTTAGCATCTTCTAAAAGAATGAGGTAAGGATGATGCAAGAAGATGATGCAATGATGACATAAAAGTCAACTTAGAGTTCCAAAATGGCCTTAACCCTTTCTATTAGCCACCAAGGGCATTTTTGTCCATTTAAGCCAAAGTTTTGGCTATAAATACCCCACCTTGGAAGAGCATTTTGGCATCCATTTGTAGAGGGAAAACTCTGCCAAAATTTAGAGAGAAAAACGTGGGGGTGAAGGCCAAGAAGAAGAAACAAGATTCAAGCTTCAAGAATAAGGTATGTGATGGTTATAGTATCTGCATTGATTCCTATTTTGAATAAGTTAATCTTTGTATCTGATTTTAGAATTTGGCACAATTAAAGTACACTCTGTAAGCTTTAAACCCATGGGTAGAACACTTCATTTGGATATGTGTACGATTTATGGTGATTTTTCAAAATTGGGTTTGAAATCTGGAAATAGTGTTTAACCTTTGAAAGAGTGTTAAATTCCGTACAATTATGGTACTGTTCAGTATAGAATTGGTTCCTGAAAGTATTTTTCATTTAAAGATAACTTAAGGAGCTTTCAGTAAGACTTGAAACCACTCAGTTTTGATTTTTCTAGAATTAATTATGAATTTTCAAAGTTGAGTAAATATTCTGGAATTTCTGCATGAACAGTACCCGCGAAGCAAAATTTTCAAATTTGATCTTCTTGAATCTAAGGCCATCTAAAGTGGTCCTAATTGACAAGAAATGGATATTGAGGATGGGAAATAATGAGATTTGTGTTAGAAAATCTAGAAGAAAAACCCTAAAACTAAGAGAAAGGGTTGAGGTTCAAGAGAACTAGCTTTGAACATTATGTAATCTCTTGGTCCTAATAGATTGTGTGATCATTATGACTATATTTAGGACCTTGAAACATCCACAAGGATGTTTCGTGATGTTAACCAAATTTCCACATGGTTGGAAAGTCAAGGGAGTCAAAGGAAAAGTAAGAGGAAACCTTGAGGTGCAAGGTAGTGAACTTACCTATTGTCATTGCTTGATGTTGTATGCTTATGTGTTGCTGTGTACATATTATTTGAATATTATTGTGACATGTTTTAGCTACTGTAATTGCTATTCATGATGAGTAGATTATGTCTCCATGGCCATGCATCAAGAAGTTAGCTTTGAGCATGCTAATATGTCACTAATTAACAAGAGAATAAACAAGTTGTGTGTAGTGCATTAGCATCCATCTAACATAATTAATATGGTAGTCTTTGCTACTAAAATTCTCCCGAATCTCACCCCTTCCTAACTAACCATTTAGGTTAATCAATGATAGGCAATAATGGCATGAGAAGCAAGAAGAAGAAAGTGGAGAATTGTTCATGCTAATCAATGATATTATTATTCAATATATAATCTCCTATTATGTAATTTATGTTGTGGATGCCAATAATGCCATGTATTTAATTATAATATTTATAACATGTATAGAAATGTATAATCATGAACGGGAAAGAGTAAACCCATGTTATGTATGCCAAAGAAATAAAAAGAATTAAAGTAAAGAGATGTTAAGGCATAAAACGTAGGTTCTGGAATAGTGAGTTTGTAACTCCAATTTGACCTATCAAACGAATGAGTTAAGTCATGAAATTTGACATACTCATAGTGCACATCCCAAGCTTTAAAATGAGAGGTAGATCACCTCAATTGGATGTGTACACAATGAGATACGAATTTTCAAAGTTGAGGCATAGAATTTGGAAGTTCCAGATTTTACGACATGAACAGTAATATTTATTGATTAAACTGTGTGAATTGGGCAATGATAAGTCTAATTGGATATTTTTCCTTAAATAGAATCGAAATAGCTTTCCGTAGAATTTTAGAATACTCCAATACGATTTTTATGGAATTAGTTATGAATTTTTGAAATTGGGCCTGTAATCTGAAAATTAAACAGTAAATAGTAACCCGAGTAATTATATTGAAATTTTAAATCCGCGGGCTCATGTCATGATCTGCTTGAATCATAACGCTTACGAATGTGTACTCTGAGGGGTTAAAGGTAGGGCGTTTCAAATGTCACATCCAGCAATATGATAATTAGGAATAAAAATATTCTTAAATATTTAAGAGCCAAAAAGGATAAGGAGAAATAGAAGAATTATAGTGGAAAATAAGTAGTATGATTTTTCAAGTCAATTATGAAATGTTTGACTAATTAAGAAAAATTGGTCAAGAATAATTATGAAAAAATATTTTCAAGTCTCAGAAAATTAAGAAAAAATAAGGACAATATTCTTTGAGAATTATATGAGTTATATAATTGGTTTTATGACCAAATTACCCTTAGAAAAATTTAAAAGGGATTTAAGGGTAATTTAGGCCAATTTAAGGGATTTTGTTTGAAAAATTCCAAATAAATATTTTTAAGGAGAATAAAATTTCAAGAAAATTCCTATAATACCCCAAGAAATTATAAGAGATTATGAAATTAAAAGAAAACCCTCAAATATCCAATATTTTTCCTAATTCCTTTAAAAAGTGAAAAAATCATTAAAGAGAAAGAAATTAGTTTTCCTTTTTATTTAATTATTGAGAATTTAATTTAGAGACAAAGATGGCATGTTGGGAAGATAAAAAATAAGGAGAATGAATTATGGATCTGACAGAAAATAATTACAGAGGCTAGAGTACTATAATCATAGAAAAGAAATTAAATTCGGAGTAAAAATGCACCGATAAAATGTAGATTAGAGTCTTACACTTTACTTGGCTCACAAGTTGCCACTTGTCAAGTCCCTATTAGAGAGTAATTAAACTTTTCAAGTGTCAAGAGAGAAGTTTGGCTTTTGAAAATTAATTACAATTGGAATTAAATAATTAAGAGAGAAGTTTCAAGAAGGAGTAGGAAAGTGACACTTGCAAACCACTTATTGTTGGTGGTTGAGATATTTTGTGCACTTAAATAAGCTCTTCCTCCCCCATTTTTCTTATTATGGTTCGGCCAAGAGAGGAAAAGAGTGATCTTCAAGTGGGAACAAGGAGAAAGGCACTACCTTTGATCAAGAAAGTTTAGAATTAAGGTTAGTGGTTAATTTTATGATGTTCCTTGCTTGATTCTCTTGATTTTTATGGTCGAAAATTATGGATTTTCTCCTTAATGGTGTTGGTCGAATTGATCTTAAGGGAAGGAAAGGAAGTTTTGTTGTTAAACATAGTTAGAACACTATGATTTAGGATGGATTCAAGCAGTGGATGTTGTTTTTTAAAAGATTTCATGGTTGAACTCTAAGGGATATCTTTCGGCCACTTCAAGAACCCCAACCTAGGATGAGATTTTCAATGTTTTGATGCTTCTATTGTGTTCAAAATGAAAATTGTGTAGGATAAACCTAAAGAACAAGTACTGGAAGCATTAAAATCAAGGTTGTGATTTTTGGAAAACCTATACCCCTATTCGACCAACTTGGTTCTTGAGAAAGAAATTTTCTTTTCTTAAATCAAAGCCCATATTTGGATCTACATGAAAAATCATGTAGGAAGGAACCAAGAAAGAATTTTTAGGGCTTAAGGAAACAAAGCTTAAAAATTAAAGACCAAAGGTTAAAGCTTTAAAGGGCAAGGGTTTAATTGAGTTTTGTTATTGATTTTTGATATGGTTTGGTTGGTAATGTTATTGCCCTTTTTATGAATTGTCATGTTAGGGTTTGATATTTGTGGAGGAGAAGAAGAAGATCAAAGAAGGAAAAAGCTTTTGGATTAAAGTAGTGGGATTTAATTAACCATTAATATTAATTTTACAACAATAACCGAGTACTTCACTAGAGTCTATTGGATAAAGGAAAAACTTGGTGATGAGCCAATTTCGCAGGTTATCCATAAGCATACATCTCAAGTTATTGTGACTTCTCAAATTTTTCCCAATTTTTAGCATTTAGGGTGTGTTTGGGTGATGATCCAAACCATGGTTTGGGGAAAAATCACCCAAACACCATAAAAAAAAAAAAAAAAAAAACCATGGTTTTGGCAGAAGCAAAAATTTTCTGCTTTTGGAGAAAAAAGGGAGAGTACGAGAACTTATGGGATATGTGCCTTGTTGTCTGTTTTTTTTTTTGGCTCAGATGGATATACCCTTCATAATTATTCATCTCTTTCTCATTGTTTCAGACACAGTACGAGGGAGAGCCTTAGAGTATATCTCAATAATAATATGACTTCAACACCCCTCAATTATTTTTTTATAAACATAGTTAATCTTATATCTTATAAATATATATACACATATTAATTATCTATTAATTATATTATCTTATGTATTATTAATGATGTTGATAAAAAATATATTATTAACAATTTTATTCCT